GTTTTTCGAGACAGGGTTTCTCTGTGTAGCTTTGCGCCTTTCCTGGAACTCACTTGGTAGCCCAGGCTGGCCTCAAACTCAGAGATCTGCCTGCCTCTGCCTCCCGAGTGCTGGGATTAAAGGCGTGAGCCACCACCTCCCGGCCTCTTTTACTCTTTATGGTTGGGATCAGCCATGTGTCTGTAATCTGAATTTAAACAGGTTAATAAGACTATAGCTGAGATTAATTATCTGTGTTTATGTGGTCTCCTATTCTACAGCAATACTGGTGGTTCAGAAAATGGTTGCAAGCATCCAGAAGAATGGATGGATGCCTCCAACATCTTTTAGGAGCAAGATTCTGAATAATATACAATAGAACATCAAAAACCTATTATAAAAGTATAATATTCAGTGTAAAAGACACCAATAATTTTACACAGTCTTTACAGTCTACCATATTCACCTTTTTTTGTTTTTGTTTTTGATTTTTTGAGACAGGTTTTCCCTGTGTAGCTTTGCACCTTTCCCGGAACTCACTTGGTAGCCCAAGCTGGCCTCAAACTCATAGAGATCCGCCTGACTCTGCCTCCCAAGTGCTGAGATTAAAGGCATGAACCACCATTGCCTGGCCCATATTCACCTTTTATACATGGTTTTTCATTTCTTCTGGCAATAGCTCAGTTGCATATCCCTTATATGCCTATCTTCATCAGTGCTGGCTCCTATAACAAACTACTGTAGACTGCATGTCTTACAAACAACAGAAACAGATTTCTCATAATTCTATAGACTTTGAAGCCTATAGTTACAACAATTTTGTTGACAACCTTCTACTATGTTGCAGCTTGGTAACTTCTTGTGCTATTATATAGCAGAAAATATACACAACCCTCTAAAGCCCATTTGATACAGACATTGTATCAGTTATTTATCTCATAGACTAACTTTGGTTGTTACAAGCTCATAACAAAAGGAAAAATGGTTTATTTGTGCTTGAGAAGGCACAACAGAAGGAGCATGAGACACCTAGCTACATGGAGTCTGTAACAGGAAGCAGAAAGTGATGTGTGCTCACATTCAGCTTACTTTCTCCTTTTCATCTATTTAGGACTTTAGCTCAAGGAAAGGTATAGCTTTCAGTGTTATGTCTTCCTAATTCAATTAACCTAATCTAGACAATGCCACTCAGACATGGCCAGAGATTTGTTTCCATTGTGATAGTAAATCTAGTCAAACTGACAACCAAGTTATGAAGGCATGAATCATGTTCATGAAAGAATAGCCCTAAAAAGCTAATCACTTCTTAAATCTTCCATATGTACCTTGAGGGAGTCTCATCATTTTGATTCTGGAAAACCAAACAGTTTGTCTATAATATTATCAAACATTGGGCCATTAACATTTATCCTTTCACTTAATTTTAGCAGAGTTTCACAAATACATCATTTTTGTGATGCTTATGCCTACTTTGAAGATGCAGAAGATAAAAACTAAAAATTTCTCAACTTCACTCAAAAAATGCATGGCAGAACTGGAGAGTCAAGTGATGCCTCAGTGTCAAATAGTTTCTCAACCCCAGTGCTATTGGTCTTAGAAACTCATGAATGCCTGCTGCAGGGAGCTGCATTGTTCACTGCAGAATGGTGAGCAACATCTTTGACTACAAGGTGTCAATGACCAAAACTGCAGTCACAACAACCAAAAGTATCT